CCCCAAAACCCCAAAACCCCAAAACCCCAAAACCCCTATCAACTCAAACAAAGTTGAATTACTCTTCAAGCAGAAAAGCCAAGCTCCATTTTTTACATTGATGGAAGACACAATTGATAACTGGGTAGAATTGGACTATTTTATGTTCATAAATTTTGTAGCATGAAGACTTAAAAATCTAGCGAAATTATACCAATTTTATCGAAATTTGGAGTGGAATTTAGTTTGAAGAAAAATTGAACTAACTTAGCCTACTAACTTGGTCATAAATCCTTGAATGATTTATTTTCTCCTTGTTATCTTTCCTTTCGTTGCTTTTTCTTGATCTTTTTCCTGAACTTTTATCTATAAATTCATTAAGAACTTTGATCAGTCAACTTCTGGCTTCAAGAAATTATAATAACGATTGAAGGGTGAGCTAAATTCAAAGTGAAAGAGCCAAAATCAATGATTTAATAAGTTAAATTGTAACCTGAGTGAACATAGAGTAATTACCTCCTCTAATGTGTCCTCCCTCTGCGTTAAAATATTGTCTCTTAAGCTGAAACTTCTCTGTAGGAATTTTAAACTGAGGAGTCTTGATCTTGTGGCCAAGGTTCATCATATTAATTTGGTGCTGAAGAGTAGTCATCTGATCATTAAGGCTTGTTTTTAGCTTCATTTCTATGTTACCTTTCCTAGATTTTGTGGTAGAAGGAGTCTTAGTCAAAGTTGCATTGTTGTTCGTAAACGAGTTGTTTATCTTTGAAATTGAAATACTCGATGATTTGCTCTTCTTCTTTTTAATCTTGGAACTACTATTACTTCGATTATTCAGATTTCGGTTATTCTTTATCCGAATAGGGTTGATTCTATTCTTAGCCTGATTAGTAGCAATCATAGAGATTCTGGAATATCTATTTGGGCGAGGTTTTTCTCCTGAGTTGATACTTGTATTTGATCTCTGCCCTTTATTAATATCTTTAACCTCTACGTCGAAAGATATATCTGAGTCAGTTGCATTGTTTTGAGCAAGAAAGCCTTGACCTCTTTCAGCTGCACCAGGGTCATGATTCATCAGATGTCTATTTACAAATATTTTATTAGAATTCTGATGATGCTTTCTCTTAGAGCTACTTTTTCTCTTTCGGCTACTATTCTGTGTAAAAATAGCATTATTCTCTGATCTTCTAAGACTATTTTTGCTGGTGTTATACTTCTTGTGACTATACATATCTAGCCTGTTATTCTTTATAGAAGATTGGCTTGAATCAACACTTTTTCTGAGTTTTATAGATCCAGTCGTAGAGTTAGGCCTGTCTTGAGAATCGTATGATCCTGGAGTTAACCTAGTGTGAGGATAATTATTCAGACTATCATTATATTTCTTTTTAAGCAAATATTGCCTTTCTAAATCATTTGAGTGTCTGCTTGGGGTATTCTTTGAAATATTATTAGAATACAAAGCTCCGCTTGATGGAGTATTCAAACTGCTGTTTCCTGATGAATACCTGCTTTCAGTTTTCTTTGTCAAGCTAAACCTATCCTTTGTGTTCACCCCAATATCGATAGTTTGCTTTGGTTTTGGTTTAAGGACCTTAGTCATCAATCATTTAGCACTACATGCTCTATCAATATAAACTTTAGTAGGCTTCAATTCAGGCTCAGCCTGAGTTTCTTGATCTCTGGTTTGAACTTTCTTTGTAAATACACACTCTCCACTTTCTAAGAAAACACCACTTTTAGAGCTACGATCTTGAGGTTTGTCCTGATCCTTAATCCCGAGCTCAATCATCTTCTCATCAATATACTTGAAGTAATCATTAGATGGCATATCAAGTGGAGACACTTTGACCATGGCGTTCTTACGATGTTTCAGCATGCTCTTTGTAAACTCTTTAGAAGCTTTACTGTGATTTCTCAGATCAAAATTAGAATCATAGATATAATCACAATCCTGAATAATAGGGTTTGATTTATTATTATGAATTCCTTTCAAAGGCTTTAAAACTTTCACATTTGACGATAATTCGTACCCTTCTGGGATAGATTGAGATGAAGGTGAATGGTGCTTAGCATAAGAATGAATCAGATGTTTAACATATGGAGAATCCCCTGGAAGGAAAGCAAAGGCCATCTCTAATGCTTTCCCATGCCAAAATTGAGCCTCTACTGAATCTTTGAAACCATCAACTTGAAGCTGTCTTAAAAATCTGAGTTCAGTTCCCATTCAAAAATAAGAAGTGATGACAAGCATGATCTAAAAATTATTCTACGATATATTTACCTTTTCTAGAAGAGGTTTCCTAGCCAGAGTCATATCAAGATCACGCACAAAATAGAGATCATTAAAGTCAAGTTTACTAAGTCTCATAATATTTGAGATATTTAGGTAAGAATTGAGCTTTTTCTGATTAATAAATCCTAGTAAATTCTCCAGATTAACTTTCTCATCCTTTGTAATTTCTTCAATTCTATCTTTAACTAATTCTTCCTGCTCAGATGTCTTTTGCTGTAATCTCTCTTTGTTATTAAGTGCACCCTTCTTCTTACTTGGGAGGTCCTTAAGCTTATTCTCAAGAGTAATCTCTTTAACAAGATATTTCTCAAATTCTTGTATTATTGGGTAAAGTTTCTTGTATCCTCGATGAAAGATAGACATTGGTTCTCCATCAGAATCCTCTGTTGATGCTGAATTGACCTATTACATTATTAGAATTTATTATACTGAATCCTTTCTGTTCCTGTTCGTTGCTTCCTTCTGAAGCTTGCTGTTCCCCTTTCTTGCACTTGATCTAAGCTTATTCAGATCTACTGATCTATCAGTTTTTACTTCAATCCTTGTGGTTGGCAGTTTTGAATCTCCTTTTGGTGAATTCTGATGTTTAGAGTTATTATCTCTATCTTTTAATATTCTCACACTTACTCATTCTTATAATTTTCAGTATTTGTATAACTTTCTCTGTAGACCAAAGACTCTCAAAATCTTTTAAGATCTTTGAATATGAAATGGCCTATTCTTACAGCGATTTGGCAGTGATATAAAGCTTCCTGATGCCGATGTAATTGGGACAAAAGAGCTCATAATTGCATTCTTAATACGCACTCAAGCGATAAAATCTGAGATTTCACTTCAGTCTTCTGAAATGTAGGCATCATTGATAATATTTCCAGATTTAAAATTCATGTTTCTAAGAATAAAGAAGCGTCTTCCAAAGATCCAAGCATCTGGTATCAAAGTGCAGTGTTGTGGAAGATAATTATTATTACAAGTCTGTCCTTTTTAAATCGTTCTACGTTAGCTTGCTATGTGAATTAAATTATCATCGATACCTCAATAATTATCTGTGCTTTCTGAAGTAAAACAAGAGCTTTTTCCCATTCCTCCTTCTCAATATAATACACTGAATTCTCATGAAGCTCATAAAGTACCATCGGTACTTCCTCTAAGCCATCATCCAACATACTTACCAATATCAAGGTCTAGCTCTTTATTAAAAATAGAATCGAACGAATCATTTGAGGGGCTCCTCCCAAAATTGACCTCACTGATTCCCTCCATTAAATCTATCTCTTTGTCCTTATTCTTACTCCCTCTCTCTTCATCTAGTACAAACACGTCTACTCCTTTTTCCTTCCTATAGCCAATCACACATATCCCACAGGATGCTTACTCTCTTGGCTTCAAGGACTCCATTTCTTAACTATTTTAAAATAAAATTTCAGTCATTTCTTCTTCGAGGGGTTTTGGGGTTTTGGGGTTTTGGGGTTTTGGGG